CATAAGAAACAATGTAAAATATTTCCGATAACTCGGCATTTTCACAAACTCGGCCACCCTTCGGTCCACATTAGGTCGAGTTTTTGAGGTTCTACTGTACATCCTTTTGTTGTTTGTATTTACCTGCCACCATGTGACAGTGATGTCACGTGAATAACTTCCATTCCTATTAGAAAAATTTATCCAAAATATTTTTTGTAAATAATTTTCAAATATATTTTAATATATTCATTTGTTAACAAATTATTAAAATCTTTTTATATTGAATAGTTTGATAGAAGAAGAGCAGCTCTAGATTCCGATGAAGATTGAAAGCTTTGCAAAGAATAATGGCAGGTTATATACTTAATATGAGCCATATTGTGCTCTATTTTTTGTTTTATATATACATAAAAAACTATTATGTTAATTAATCCTGTTTATTATTTAAAATAAATCTTCAAATACTACTTTATTTGTATTTTAATTATTTTATTATAGTAAAACTTCATAAAACTGACAATTTAAATATGTTTGTACTTGATAATTTGAATTTGTTAAATTAAATTGTAATGTAATTTAAGTAACATTTAAATTTGTTTTATTTAACTAATTAGATTCCTGGTATGGGAAAAGTTGAAGAGAATAAAAGGTTTTACACATCAAATTTTTTTAAAGTGCTGTTTGAGTTAAAATTATTGACACTTGTATTATAAATTATGCCTGAATATTTGTATTCAACAATACAGAATAAATTTATAAAATTTCACTGCTTTGCATAAATCAAATGATGAATTGTTTTTTCATATTAATGAATTTTGTAACTATATAATTATAAACTGAAAGTAATAAATACAAATTAAACTAATAATCTAATTTTAATTGAAGAGTATCTAAACATCAAAAAATTATGTATTTACTGTCCCTTTTGAGATATAATTTCATTGAAATAATTTGTTTAGATTTGGATAATTGAACAAAACATTTAAAAATATGAATACATGTTGCACATGTATATACCATCATCAGATTCCACACTTTAATGTTCTTTTTATCCCAGTTTTCATTTTAAACTTTTGTTATTTTCATTGCCATTGTTGTGCATGCAGAGTATAAAAAATTTAAGCATTTCAGCAAGCACTTAATTGAAAGCTTTTAAAAGAATTCTTTTGTTAAAAAAATATTAAAATATAATATTGAAGTTATAGAGGTATTTTTAATATATGAGTAGTACCTGACAGTATTAATTATATGGAAGCATTAGCTTTGTCTTGACAGCAACATATACAGATTAACAGAATATGATTATAAATAAAGTATTATGACATTTTTGATAATCAATCTGAAAAAATATCTAAGTTGATGACTACCCACCATAGAAATTTGTATTTTGAAATTAGTGACTTACCAAAGAAATTTTTAAAATTTTGAGAAACAGTTGAAATGTTTTTCATTTACATAACTTATTTAAATGCAAATTTAGAGATATTTAGAGAAAATAGACAAACAGACAACCATTGCTACCACATCCAATCTGTTTCTAGGTTTCATTATTAGCATTCAAAAAAAATTGTGAATGTCAATAATGAGTAAAATATTAAGTTCCACCGCACTGGAGATATGGCACGGCCCCTTCTAAGTTCTACCTTGTTGATCTTTAATCAAGAACCAAAATCTAATATCATTAATGCCTCTTTATACACAAGCTACAGTGCCAAATTTTGTTTCTTAAACTTTACCCATTCTGAGATATTGTTTAATATTTCAGAACAGAGAATAAAGAAATTAATTAAACAAATTAGACGCCAACACATGCGCGCGAATTTTTTTTTTAATTGACATTTTTTGCGTTCAGGAGGTCTCCAAATGTGTACATTTGCAAAAAACTTTGGAGGGTCAAATTTGGCACAATTCAAATACTTTTCCGTTTTATATACATAACAAGTTGGGAAGTAAAAAGTCGGCAGAGTTTTTGACGACTTCGACTCTGACTAAAACACCAAAACTCCGACTCCGCAGCCCTGATAACGACAAACAAAATTCATTTAATACCAAAGGAGTCATTCAAACAAGAGTCACCAATATTTAGGCAACTTTTGCTGATGTGAGTTACACTTGATCTGCCATCTGGATATTCAAGCATTTCTGTAAAACAAATCTATAGTACAGTACATAATTTATTCATATTTCCTGCCATGACGAGACTAATTTTAAAAAATAAGCCATAGAGGGAAAAAACGAAATCCACTGATTTACCACAGAAGACATTGTACTCGTAATCCCTAGACTAAAGATATATAAATGAGAATGTTTGTCCGCTATGCAAGCATAGGCTGTTCCACCAATTGTTACGAAACTCAGAAGTTACTTCTAACTTAGATTGTTTTGTCTAAGTACATCTCACCCCAAAATATTGATTGAATTTCTATATATCAATTTCTATCTACATTCATTTGCTGGCTTTACATGTAGCGTCATCTGTTAGCAAAAAATTTTAAAAAGTAAATATAGTTCTTACAAAAAAAAATAGAAATAATTTTAAAAATTATATATTATATTCATTGAATTACAGATTTACCTTAACTGTCTCGGGAATTTGGCCGACGATGAATAGTTATTTGTGTATAACAGAATTTGTGAAATAAAACCAAGTATATTGTGGAAAAGTATTTAATTCTTAAGAACAGACTTAGAAAGTGTCAATTGCTTTACAAAAGAATTTTTCGGATCCTGATAAATACTATTATGAATTTCTCAAATAAAAGCATCAAAATTATTCGAAGTACTTGATGATGATAAATTTTTATATCACATAAATAGACTTAAGGGGTTTCGAGTACTGCTTTTTTGTTCAATATGCTGCACGAAGCCAAAAAGAATTGTGAGTCATTGTGCTTTTCTGTAACTTGCGTTTAATTAAGAAAAAAGTTAACCAAATGCTTTTCAATTTACACAAAACATCGAATTTTGAAAATAATTTAATGTTCCTATTAAAATAAATGGACTAAATATAAATCATATCAAATTCTGTTTATGATAATTTTCTGCATTATCCGGTGATAATTTATTTCGTTTAGTAATCTTCCAGTCGTACTTGAAATTCAAGCGATAAAACAAATCTCTGAATTTGCTGCGGAGATATTCGTAATCGGGAGCTTCTTCGAATTTTAGACTTCTGCAATGGCGCAGATAATTGGCAAATTCATCGGGAAATCCGCTGCATAATGTTTCGATAGAAGTAGATGCTTTATTTTCGGGGATTCTTTCGTGTTTTTGTTTTCTGGTTGCAGCAACCAATCCCTCCCAAGGAAGAAATCCTCGAAGAAAATACATTAAGACATTGCCTAAAGATTCTATATCATCGCGTCGACTTTGTTCAATTCCTAAATGAACGTTGAGGCTGGCATAACGAGCTGTTCCTGTTAACATTTTACCATCCTTATACTCGACATGCTTATCGTTGACTCTATACAGTTTAGATAATCCAAAATCTACGATAAATACACTATTACAGAATCGAGTTAAACCCACGAGAATATTCTCGGGTTTGATGTCTCTGTGGATAATATTCTTCGAGTGGATGTACTGTAGACGGGAAATCAATTCATCGATCAACAACAGCACAGTTTTCATACTAAATCTTCTATTGCAATAGTTAAATAGGTCTTCGAGACTCGAGTAATTCCATGACCAGAGCATTATAATGTTTATATTTTCCAAAATACATAATTTTCGGGATGCCGCATCCTCCTTGAAAGATGATATAAACTTTATACTCGATCAAATGTTGCGAGTGTTTGAGAGTAAAAACTCTAACTGCACCTTTCTCTTTATTTTCAGTGTTTAATCCGAGATATACATCTCTGGAAGAGCCACTGCCTATTTTATTCATTGTACGATACCTTATATTAATAACTTCGGATGACGATATCGATTCCATTATGCTCTTGTATGAAACCATTTGTAAAACTTGAAATTTTGAAGCTATTATTTTCGAAAGAATATAGTAATTGTTTTTCGATTATTGTTGGTAAAATAACAATGGAATCTACGAGGAAAATCAAAATTGAAATTTAATTTTTAAGATTATTAAACTTTTTTTGCCCCGTGGGCATTAAGAGGCCTATTTCAAGTCCATCGTGGATTCGCCTGGGCCCACAACGGGCGACCGGATGGCAAGAGACGAGTTTGAAATATTCGGGATAGACCACCACCGAATAATTCCTGGTATTTCAATCGTCCGGATTCGAACACCACTTCCCCAGATGGATCTTACATTTAATCATAATTTATAAGGCCATCTGGTAAAATGCCAGTCTTAGATGTGAATGTCAGTCTCGAACCCGATCCGATTTTCTCGTGTATTGTGTATGATGCGAGGAGTTTTACTCCTCTCCGATTCTGTTATAGATCTGGTTCGCCCGTAATAGATGTAATTGTTGCCGACTCCTCGTTCAAGGCACTTTCGGATAATTTATGCAATCAAACTTTAAACCACAGGAGAGATTTTATATAAAACTAAGAAAATACTACGTATTTAATATTATGTTCAGTTTGTATTTTTAATAATTTTCTTACTTTATTTTTTTAAAATATTTTTTTATTTTATTATAAATAAATTTTAATTATAGTAATTTGTTGCTAATAAAAATATTATTTATTTCGTAAAATAAATCCGAGAAACAAATATAACTCACTAGAGGGCGAACAGACTCTATATATTAGCGGAGTGTCTTTCTTCCGTTTTATTTTACGCTGATCGTGAGGTATGTGTGGTGAGTAAATGCCGTTTCGAAATTTTTGATATTTCATTTTACTTAAAATAGGGTTCTAATCTATTTCTGCTTTTTACGGAAGGTTAACTTTTATGTGAATTAAGTTTCTAAAAGTTCGATTACGTCGGGATGTATTTGGATTGAGATTTGCCACGTGCTCGCTTCGTTTCTTTTCAGATAACCGACGTAGTCGAATGATCTTGTAACTTAAAAAATATTTTCTAAAATTGAAATTTTGTGAAAAGTCATTCAAGTAAATGGGACTGATGTTTTAAAATGATGGGAAATAAGAATTAATTTAAGACCTTTACCCCCCTCTTCCGTATCGTAATGATGACTCTTTCCGTGTTTCAACTGAATTTTTTTAGATGAAACTTTCTTTACTGAATCTTAAATTTCTTAATTCACTATTGATGACAAAATCGACAATTAGTAAAGAGGTTTTTTTTTTTGTAAATTTCAGGTTACGTTTAAGGAAGATGATGCTTTAAAAGGTTAGTACAGTATGCCTAATAATTGTCTTTTAAACGAGAAATGATGAATTGTCATTGGTCCGTGTTTCTGAATAAATGTGACGATAAACAATGACGTAAATCTGATTAGAATGAAACAAATTCTACTTTAATAATGAATCCATCTGCGATATTTATTTATTTTTTTCTTCCTTTCAGGACTTCATCCGATATCCTTATCCTGAGTAGTGGTAAGAATGGGTATTAAT